TATGTTGCAACTAATTTTAGCTTATGTTGCAACATTTTGTAAATTTGAAATCAATTGCTGTACCATCTTTAGTATCCGCCAAAAATTACCAGAACAACGTCTGTGTATAACACTAGTTACAGCCTATATAAAATATAGAGTTATAGGTTGCAGGTTGTGGGTTGTGATTAGTAAGACTTAGTTGTGTGTTATCTTTAAATATAATACTTTCAGTTTTTATGTAATAAAAATATTTTTTTTATAGCTAATTTCATAATTTATGGACTATTAATAAGTTTTCAGTCATATTCAGTTGCAATATTTTATAGTAATTTTATTATAAAATATTTTTAATCACATTTAGTCACAATTTATTAGTAGTTCGCAAATTATGAAATTAGCTGTAATATGTTCTTCATATCCTAATAGATCATTTAAAACTTTCAAATCAAGTTAAATCAAGTATTTAAAAGTAGATTGCTTATATATATAAATGTAATAAAAATATAGTTATTTTGTATAATATTTTTATTTATTGCTTTTTATTACTATTTATCTATATTTTCTATTATACTTTGCAAATTTATATCTTTTTCTTGAATATTTTCACACTCAGAATCTTTTTATCTAGTAATTCTTCTTCAATTTCATTATTTTCAGAAATTATATCAGCTTTTTTTTTAAGTCTTTATAAAGATGAATTAATATTTTTATATATTCTATCTTTATAATACTATTTATAGTGTCAACAACTATATTTTATTTAATTATAGCAATGCTAATGAAAATTATAACTATATATTAATACTGTACTACCACTATCATCATTCAATATTTTGTAACTATTATTACAAAATTCTAGTAAAAGAGAAACTCCAGTATTATAACTAGTTAGTAAATATGTAACATCAACATCTTTATTTAAAATAGTAAATTTATATTTCAAATGCTTTTTTTTCTTTTTTTGCTTGGATTATTTTTACTAACTATTTTAACATATTAATACAACTGCTAAAACTAAAACTATAATAACTAATGGTAATAAAAAACAATAAAAATAATAATGTTTTATTTATTAAATAATTTAGAGTAGAGAGTGTATATAGGTATATTTTCTTTATATAATATGTTTTTTTAAATAGGGATTGCTTATTTGTATCTATTTTCAATTTTATATATAAGTTAATAACAAAATTATATTCTTTAAATAAATATAATTATGTTTCATACTTAGAATATAAATTTGTTTAATAATAGCATCAACATTATTATTAGATAATTAATGTATTTGCACATATTTGACTGTGCAAATTTTTAACAAAATAATCATTAAAATCTATAAAAAACATTTTAATTACATTTAATATTGAATGATCTATATATTAACAATAAAAAATGTCTGATAAGAAAGCTAGAAAGGCTTGTTGTAGTTTTTACAATTCCATCATAACGTAAAAATTCACATTCGAAAAAATAGTTTTAATGTATTTATCAAAGGAACTTAAACAAAAAAGGACTGCATAGATATCCAGAGTTAATGGAATAACATTATCAAGAAAATTAATTAACATTTTATATTTTATGTCTTTATATATAAATCCAAATTTTTCTAGTATTTTTACTTTTATTTTTAATTATCCTTGATAAGCAAATTTAAGGAAAAGATTTATTCTTTATAGTTTAGGTTTTTTAGCAAGAACTTTTTAGCTTCCAAAAATTGCATAAAAAGCTTTTTAAAGAAAGAATAATAAATTATTAGAACTTGCTTCTGACTGTTTAATAAACATGTAATAGATCTAATATAGGTATGAAAGTATTAATGAATGCTAGTATTTATGATATTGTATTTTATTAATACAAGTAAGTTAATGTTTTTCATATGAAAAGTTAACTATACCAGTTAGCAATAACTGGTATTACAAAATTATTTGTACATTCAATATCTTTATTTATTAAAAAAATTATTTCTAATGCATTTAAGTAATCATTTAATAAATAAAATTTACTCTCTTTAATTTCAACTAATCATTCATTTGATTTTCTTTTATAGCATCATCATAACAATAAACAGTTAAAAGATTAAGTTGAACTAAATTAACAAAATCTGTTTTTTGTGAAATAGTTTACTAACTCTTTCTTTGAATATATAATAAATCAAAAATTCCAAAATATTGTGTAATAAAATGCTAGCAAATTAAAGAAACATTTATATTGATAGGATTATGGATTGAATTACCATTATACTTTATTGGAATTGGAATATAGTTTGAATTTCTTTACTAATACATGTTGCAAAATAGACTGCAGTTGAGAGAAATACAGTATCAGAACATCTTATTCCATATCTGATTTCCAAAGAATAATGGTTTACAAATTTATTATGTATTGCAACTATTAAATAGCATATATTGTCCACCTTTTTTTTGTTTGCATTTTTATTATAAGCAAATTTTTTATCTGGAGTAAATGAATTATATAATTCATTAAAAATTCCTTTTAATAATGGTTCAGCATTTTCACATTGTTTGAAAATGATTTGAATCCAATTTGAGAGGTTTGTTTTCTTTTCTCTGTTTTTCATGTAATACTTTAGTCATTAACGTAATCTTTATTATTAACAACTATATTATTTTGTATATTAGAAACATTAGGAATATTTCGAATACTATTAATTTGTAATTTTTTATTGCAATCAGGTTCAATAATACTAAAATAATGAGGATAGCATAATTGCTTTCCAAATTCTAAATAATTATATTGGTCAAAAGTGCTTTTTCTTTTGCTTTTCTTAATGCATTAGTTGTAATTCCACGATATTGATTTGAATTTATTTGACAATTATAAGCAGAACAAGGGTCAAGATTTTTTCGACAATTGGTTTTTTTAAAAAAACTTTTATTCTTTATTAAAACTTTTTATTTTATATTTAATACAAATTGTTTTTCTAAAAGATTGATTTATGCATAACAGGTAAACTTTATTATCATACATGCTATGTACGCGCGCTTTAACACATTACGCTATTAATATACACGTGATAAGAAGTTAGAATTTTATTGGCTTGATTTGGTGTAACATTTTATGTAGAACACAATATTAAACAAAAGGTCACGGTAATTTTTTTGAGTTTCAGAACATTTTCCAAGCCTTTTGTCCTCGCTCAAATTTTCTTAATGTCTCACGTCTCAAGAAAAAATAAAAGTGAGCCTTTTTTGTGAATTTTCTATTACTTTGCCAAGCTATTTATATATACTTATGATTATCCTCACAGAGGCAAAATATGAATCTTGACCCATCACGTACATTAATCTTGACTCACTTATCAATCACTGTATAAATAAACAATTGTTTTATAATAAGATTGGCAAGTGGGTCTAGTTTCATTCATATTTTTGTCTCACAGAGTTAGATATTGGCGATATTTACAGAGATTCCCTAAAAGCATCTGAAGAATATGAAGCTTGTTTAACTACTAATTAATATATATGGCTATACGTATTTGGACCCAGAAAAATGTAAAGCTAGAGGCTTTGATCCAATCAAGTAAGTGATTTATCAACTTTGTTTCTTTGATCTCTTTTCTAATGTCTTACTATGGAAGAGGAAAAAAGAACTGATTTGTCTGGAGAATGGATTGATAGAACAACAGAAGAGAAAGGATTTCGTGCTATGTTTCAGGAATTTATTGCTAAAGCGTAAGTTGGCATCTTGTTGCCCTTAATTACAAAACGAAATTACAAGTAGAAATTAATACCATAGTCCACCAGAATATGTAAATAAAGATCTGAAATTATCGGATGACTTCCCAAAGAAAGAAAATAAGGGAAATAAGCGTTGTAAAAAGCCATCAATAAAGGTATATGTTTTAATTTACTTATGAGTAATTGATATTTAGTGACGTTATTAACTCTTTCTTATATTCAGAAAATTTGTTCTTTACTTATCAAAGCTTCATATCTTATGGATCGTAAAATCAAACTTGAAGATAGACTCTATGTCAAGGTCATTGCCGTAAAGATGAGCAAAGACAGAATTTTTTTGGAGGTGAAGAAAAATTGGAATATTACGAAATTATGTATCAGCTAAATACAGTGTTCGGAAATGACCTGGTCATTTGACTATTTAAAGGATTTAACTAATCCTTTGTCATAATCCTAAATCATTTAGCATTTGTCATTTAGTCATTTGCTTTAATAAAATTCTTATATAGAATTGCAATTTTTTGTAAAACTCTTAAGAGTTTGCAATTTTATTGCGATTCTCTAGAGATTTGTGCAATTTTCTAAGAGTTTTGCAATTTATTGCGATTCTCTAGAGATTTGTTAAATATTTGCGATTTTCTTTAAGATTCACTAATTCACATTTAATTGTTTTAATTTTAATTTTTATTTATATTAGATTACTTTAGAATGCATTATTTTTTTCTTTATTCCTCTTTTAGCTTAAATCACTTTCAAATATAGAAGTGATTAATTGTTGAATTATGTCTCTATGCTAGTTTAAGTAAAGATTTTCATGCGTGAATATTCAAATAAATATGTATGCAGCACAAATTAAATTTATTTTAATTTTTTCATAAAAAATGGGCAAAAAACCACATCCTTTTTGTCTATATTTTGAGTTAATATTAAATCCAAATAACAAAACTAATAAATATGTTATATGTTTTTGTTGTATTGAAGAATACACATGAAATATTGCAATAAATAAGAAGGAGTGTTATGTCACTAATAAAGCAAAGTTTTGTCATAACCACTTAGCAAATTGTGAAAATTTTAAAAAAAGATATAATGAAAAAGAATATGCAGAAATTCTTACATTAAGTTATGATAATAACAATAATAATAAAGAAAATACAAGTAAAAGAAAAGGTAAATATTATTTTTTATAATTTTTATAATATAATTTAATTGATATATAATATTAATTTATTTATTTAATATTAAAGTTATTTTTGAAAATGAAGTTGAAAATCAAAATAAATACACAAAAATTACAACAACCCAAGCAATTTTACAAGTTCCTATTACAAATTACATATTACATTTATTGTCAATTTAAGATTCTTCACATTTTTGTGATCTTTTTTTTAATATGACTATATCAAATGGATTATCTTTTTCTTTTACTAAAAATCCAGAAACTTGTGAACTTTTTAAATTTTGTGTATCAGTAATCAAATTACCAATAGCAAAAAAACTTTCTGGATCAATTTTAACAAATGTATCAGAAGATTTAGTTAAAAAAATATTAATATTGCAAAAAGACTTACATGAAGTTACTATAGCATTTGTTGGGTAGGTTAATGTCTGATCTGAGCATTTATTTGGTATTATGTTTATTACATCAGAAGGAAAAACAATAATTTGAGAAGCAAAAGATATTAATTCTAATCGATCTAAAACACAAGATGTAATTTATTATATTAAAGATATTATGAAACAAGCAGATAAATATAATATAAAGATTAATAGTTTTGTGTCAGATTCAGTTAAAAAATATGCTGCTGCTAGATATTAATTATTTTATATAAAATTATATTATTAAAATTATTATTTCTAATTAAATATAATTTTTATTTTTATTAATAA